AATTGAGTGTTCAGGAGTCATGTTAACGATGATGTCTGTTCTTCTTGTAACGAGACATATTTGCTCCTCATATTGAAAGTGTTTGACTGTTGAAAAGTGTATGCAGAATAATTGTTCATCTGTAGGGTAGAATGAACTGCGGTAATGAGATGACTTTTTCAGAAATCTGAGTAAAGCATGAAGCTTGTACATATGTTTCTGTCTGTTTACCATATTAGTTGTGTCGTATACATCTGTATTTGGCTCTGTGATTTTTTAGTTGCATGATTTCGTGAGCCGCACTAATAGGGCTGATTCATTCACTGCCATTAGAAATGCATAAGCTCTTTCTTCGCCATTTAAATATTTTCATAAATTAGTTGATGATGGTACCACAGTTGCTGTTTTCTATTTTATAGTATTTAGAACTAAGCTGATGGTATTTGAGCATAAGTGGATGTGTCCTTTAACTGGGAAGTTCTAGAAGAGCACACCATGGTCTTATGATACAGCATTAGACATTAAGCCTGTACGTAAGAATATTGAGTGGGATTACTTCAAGGAAGCAGGTGTTTTCTGAGTATATATGAGCACTTTGATTATGGCTGTTTTCAACCCTATCTACATTGCTGTTCTTATAATCTAATGTTTTCATACGGTTTAGTGCCGCTTCCTAGAACCGTTTATGCTAATTCAATACCCTGGTTCATTTCATGATCAATACCACGATCGTTAGCTGGGATTGGATCAAGATAGTTGCTAACGCGTAAGTACCTTTCCGTCGTTCATTCAGGCCGTGATATCCACCGATTATCGGACGCAGCAGGCGCTGTTTTGATCTATGCTACCTTGCTGTTGATTTTACTCTAGGTCTAACCTTTACATTCGTATTGCAAATTTTTTATGGTTTATCAGGGCAGGTGCAACACTGAATGTACTGATCGAAAGCAGCTTATTAAATTACGATTGCTATGACATCAAAATTAAATCAATAATTTTCGCTATAAACAGCTAGCTGCCTTTCAGTCACGTAGGCAGCAAAGGACGAACCAAGCATTTTGATGGGGAACGTCGTAGCTTAGGAGACGGTGCTCATGTTTACGTTAACGAATTACCGCGTTTGAGAACGTGAAATGCTTGCAAA